TAAGAAAAAAAGGCATTTTTATAAAACTTAACACAGGGCTGGGGATGTAGCTCAGTTGGTAGAGTGATTGCCTCACATGCAGAAGGCCCTGGGGGGTTCAGTCCCCAGCGCCACAAAAAAAATAATTAATTAATTTTAAAAATAAAATAAAATTCAACATAAATTCAAGTTAATTTCATTATTCAGATAAAGAATAGCTATCAAAAACTAAAGGATGCATCATCTTAAATATATAGTGATACACATGTAAGCTTTAAAATCAAGATGAGACAAAGATGCAAAAAGTCATTATTTCTCTTAACACTACTCTGAAGGTCCTAGCCAATGTAGTAAGGCAAACACACATGGAGGGAGAAAATAAAACTATCATTGGCTATATTATGATAGCTTAAATTTTCTAGTACATATAAGTATACAGCATTGAATCTAACCATCCACAAGAAATTAATTTTTTTTAAAAATTACCTTGCATAAATAACTAAAAGATCAAGAGAGAAGGAAGCAGGAGGTAGGGAGAGGGAAGAAAAAGGAGAGGTATTGGGGTCTGAATTAGAACAAGATATTTTCAATGCTTTTATAATTATGTCAAAAAGAATTCTACTGTCAAATATAATTTTAAAAACAATAAAAATCAAATTTAATTTTTAAAAAAGCCTAAATTATTCACAAATTATTAGAAAAAATAGAATTTAACAAGATGGCTGAATATAAGACTTACATACAAGAGTTAGCTGCATGTCTGTATACTAGCAGAAAACAAATACTTTATGTGATTTTTATCAGAAAATACCAAGTATCTCAAAATCTAACAAAAAACAAGTAGAAGGATGGGGATGTGGCTTAGTAGTAGAGCACCTGCCTAACATGCACAGGGCCCTGGGTTTAATTCCCAGACGCTGCAAGAGAGGGGGAAAAAAAAAAAAAAAAATCACACACACAACCATATAGAACCTTTCAGAAATGTCTATCGAAAACCTATTAGGAGATATTAAAGAAAGCATAATAGTTAAGAGTATGCTCTTGGATAGAAAAAAACAATCCTGTTTGGTTTTACTCTAAATATAAATTCTCTCCAAATTAACTTACAGATGCAGTTTAATTCCAATCTTATAGAAAATTTTTAAATAATGACATAATCACCTTTAGAAAACATGACTATATTATAAGGACACTTTGGACTTCTGGCTGATAAACTCACTCTATCAGGTATCAACTAAGAATACTAAGCTACAATAAACAACACATTGAGGAACTAGCACAGGATAGAAAAACTAATAGAAAAAAGTCCTGAAACTGAACCATACTTATAAGAAATACAAAAATAGTCATAATTGTCTTGCTTTTGAATTACTGTTTTAGAACAAATAAAACTTTTCTTAATTCAACAAATACTAACTATGGAGACTTATTTCAGATTATAATTTGTCAAATTAGAGGCTGGAGATGTAGCTCAGTGGTTAAAGCACTTGCCTAACAGGTACAAAGCCCTGGGTTCAATCTCTAGCACAGCAGGGGAAAGTAAAAAAAATTGCCAAATGATTCCCTCAAAGCCAGAAAAGCACAAGCACTAAGTACAATTCTGGCCTTGGGAATCCATAAACCTTCTTTAAAGAATGAAAAATTTTTTGTACACATGCATACCAAGAATTTTTGTGTGGAGAGAATCCACAGCTTTCACCATTCTCCCTAAAGAACTATAAAGATACTCCCAAAAGGGATGAATGGCATTGTACATTTGTAAGTAGACAAATATAAAAAAGTTCAACCAAACTGTTATCTAGTTACTAAAGAGAAGAAAAGTCTGAGGTAAAAGGAAGGAAGAAAACAGGAACATTCCCATTTTATGCACTATTTAAACAAAAAAATTAATTTTGAAATCATTATAGACCCACATAAAGTTTCAAAAATAATAGAGGGTCTTGTGTATCCTTCACCCAACTTTCTCCTTACATAACCAATATACAATATAAAAAACTGAAAACTGACAAGATACAATTTATAGTACTTATTCCGATTTTGCAAGTTTTTACAATCATTTGTGTCTATATAGTTTTATGCAATTTGATTATGTCCAGATTCATGTCACTAAAATCATATTCAAGATACAAACTATTAACACTTTAAAGTCTCACACCTGCCACTAATTCTGTTTCAACTCTTTAAAATATTGGCAATTAAAAAGTAAAACAAGGTCTGGGGTTGTGACTCAGTGATAGAGCACTTGCCTAGCATGTGTGAGGTAATGGGTTCAATTCTCAGCACCACTTATAAATAAAGTCCACTGACAACTAAAAAAAAATATTAAAAAAAAAAGTAAAACAGGCTATTTACAATAAGACAGAGCCAAAGCCGGGTCAATAGTAATGCAGCTGTACATTACTATTGTTTTAAAAATTTGCCAAACAGTAAAATAAAACAGACTCAGTGTAATGGTTAATTTGAATTGTCAACTTGATTGGATTGAGAGGTGGCAATGGATTCCTGGCTATGTGTAAAAATGCATTTGATTTATGGGTGTTGATTTTATATCCTGCTACTTAGCTGAATTCATTTATTAGTTCTGGAAGTTTCTGGTGGAATTTTTTGGATCTTTTAAATACAGAATCACATCATCAGCAAATAGTGATAGTTTGAGGTCTTCCTTTCCTATTTATAACCTTTTTTTTTTTTTTAAAGAGAGAGGAGAAGGAGAGAGAGAGAGAGAATTTATTTATTTATTTTTAGTTTTTCGGCGGACACAACATCTTTGTTTGTACGTGGTGCTGAGGATCGAACCCGGGCCGCACACATGCCAGGCGAGCGCGCTACCGCTTGAGCCACATCCCCAGCCCTATAACCTTTTTATTTTATTATTTTATTATAATTGTTCTTGCTAGAGTTTCAAGGACTATGTTGAATAGAAGTGGTGAAAGAGGGCATCCCTGACTTCTTTCAGTTTTCAGAAAGAATGCTTTCAACTTTTCTCCATTTAGAATGATGCTGGCGTTGGCCTTAACATAGATAGCATTTAAAATGTTGAGGTATGTTCCTACTATCCCTAGTTTTTCTAGTGTTTTGAACATAAAGAGGTGTTGTATTTTGTCAAATGCTTTTACTGTATGTATTGAGATGATCATATGATTCTTGTCTTTAAGCCAATTGATGTGATCAATTACGTTTACTGATTTCTGTATGTTGGACCAACCTTGCATCCCTGGGATGAACCCCACTTGATCAAGATACACTATCTTTTCAATGTTTTTGTATGCAATTTGACAGAATTTTATTAAGAATTTTTGCATCTCTGTTCATCAGGGATATTGGTCTGAAGTTTTCTTTCCTTGATGTGTTTTTATCTGGTTTTGGTATCAGGGTGATATTAGCCTCATAGAATGAGTTTGAGAGGGTTCCCTTCTTTTCTATTTCATGGAATAACTTGAGGAGTATTGGTATTACTTCTTCTTTGAAGATCTTGTAGAACTCGGCTGAGAATCCATCTGGTCCCAGGCTTTTCTTGGTTGGTAGGTAAAATCAGCATACTACAGTGACTCAGCCACATCAATGTTTATAGCAGCTCAATTCACAACAGCTAAACTATGGAATCAACCTAGATGCCCTTCAATAGATGAATGGATAAAGAAAATGTGGTACATATATATACACAATGGAATATTACTCAGCCGTAAAGAAAAATGAAATTAGGGCATTTGCAGGTAAATGGATGGAACCAGAGGACATCATGGTAAGTGAAATAAGCCTATCCCAAAAAACCAAAGGCTGAATGGTTTCTCTGATAAAAGAATGCTGATCCATGGGTGGGGGTAGGGGGTATGGAAGAATGAAAGAACTTTGGATTGTGCAAAGGGAAGTGAGGGGAGGAGTGGGGCTGTGGGGATGGGAAGGACTGTAGAATGAGACACATTATTACCCTATACATGTATGATTACACTACTGGTGTGACTGCACCATGTACAACCAGAGTAATGAGAAGTTGTGCTCCATTTGTGTAAAATGTGTCACATTTTACACAAATGGAGACCAGTGGAATAGAAGAAGAGAATTGAGGGGCTGGGGTTGTGGCTCCGTGGTAGAGCGCTCGCCTTGCACATGCGAGGCCCTGGGTTCGGTCTTCAGTACTACATAAAAATAAAGATACTGCGTCCAACTAAAAAATAAATATTAAAAAAAGAAGAAGAAGAGAATTGGGATAGGGAAGGAAGGGAACGGGGAGGTACTGAGAAATGAAATGAATCAAATTATACAGTTTTATTGGGTGTGCATATGAATATAACAAATCGCACTGTTATATATAATTATAATGTGCCAATTTTTTTAAAAAGAAGGATGCCAATGATTAAGAGGCTTCTGGGTATGTCTGGGTATGACTTGGGCATGTGGGATAGCCAACTGAAGTAGAGACCCTCCCTAAGCATAGGCCAATAGGATGATGGCTTAGATGAAATAAAAATTGGAAGAACAAGGAAGCAGCAGCAAATGCAAGCTAGATTCTTCTTGAATGGGTTCTTGATTGCTACTGCGATTATCTAGGGGTATCAGACACTTGCTTCTTCACTCTTCCAAAGCAGACTCTGCTAGTGATTCCCCAGGGAGTTTCCAAAAGTCTTCAGTGTTAGACTAGGGTAGCACCATTGATCCCTCTTGTTCTGGGGCTTCAGCCTCTTGGACTGAGCAGCTACTAGTTCTTCGAAGTCTCAGCCTATAGTTGCCCATTATGGACAATCCAGCTTCTGGTTGCATAAGCCAACCTAATAAATCCCCCCCACACTTTTTTAAAAAAATGTTCATTTCTTAGTTGTAGTTGGACACAATACCTTTATTATATTTTTATGTAGTGCTGAGGATTGAACCCAGGGCCTCGCATGCGTTAGGCAAGTGCTCTATTGCTGAGCCACAAACACAGCCCCCAATAAATCCACTTTTCATAATTATACTTCCTCTTCATTCTGTTCCCCTAGAGAACACTGACTAATACACTCAGGAAGACAAATATCAAAACTCACTTTTTGATTTCTCGAAGCAGCATTCGGATAAGGATGGTCTGAAGTGGTTCAACCATCAATTTCCTCCACATATCCAATGCTAGCTGCCAGGAAAAATAAAAATCATTAAGACTGCATTACTTAGTAATTTTTTAACATTTATCCAAGATTTTTTAAAAAATTAAAACCAGCCTTCAAAAAGAAATATTAGCAACTAATCCAAAATTCAAATGAAAACTGAAGGAAATGAAAAATTTAAAGGAAAATAAGTAATTTTATGATTCAACTTGGCAATAACCATCATAGCAGATTGTAATATATACAAAATTAGATTTTAACTTTAATTGAAAATTTTACAAAAATAACTGATTTTTATAAAATCTTGTTATATGCTCAGTACTATGGACAGGCTATACAAGCCAATACCATAATGGAAATAAAGGATTTAAGTTAAATAAAATAATTTCATTTGACCCAGGCACAATTGCACACGCCTGAAATCCCAGCAACTCGGGATACTGAAGCAAGAGGATCATAAGTTCAAAGCCAGCCTCAGCAACTTAGCAAGGCCCTTAGCATGTTAGCAAGACCCATCTCAAAGAAAATATAAATAAGAAGGGCTGGGAATTTGGCTTAGAGGTTAAGCACCCCTGGGTTCAATACCAGGTACCAAAAAAAAAAAAAATTTCATTTGGGGGTTGCTATATTTTTTCAATTACTGAATATCTCACACCTTAAAAAAAAAAGTTTAAGTTGTTTTAAAGAATACAACAGCCTCTATATTCACAACTCAGCTTAAGAAAGAAAAAAAAAAAAACATTATTGTTGCCCCAAATTTCCTCTTCCTTTCCCCTCAGAAGTTATCACTACTCTGAATTTTACATTAAATCATTTCTTTGCTTAAAGTTCTAATAAGCATTAATAGTTTAAAGTTGACCTTTTCTGATCTTTATTTTAAAAATCGTTGTATATTCTTTTTTTATTTTTTAGTTAGATGGACAAAATACCTTTATTTACTTTTTTTTTTGTAATGTGGTGCTGAGGATCAAACCCCAGTATCTCACAAGTGCTAGGCAAGCACTCTACCACTGAGCTAGAACTCCAGCCATTCACTGTATATTCTTTATGATTTTTTAAAACTATATTTTGTCATTGAAACCAATGCAAATTTAAACACATACATATACCTAGAACATTGGTGCTGCTATATAGTATCCTATTATATAAATACACCATGATTTATTTTTTCCAGTCCATTACTGATGATCTTTGCTTGTGATTCCAGTTTTCTGCTACTGACAACAATGTTGATTATTTTTATATTTATTTTCTTACCCACCTAAGCAAGAGATTTCCTGATATACACCTAAAAGTAGAAATGTTGTGCTGTAGGGTTAGACATACATGCAACTTTACTAAATAAAGCCAAATGGTTTTTCCATTTACACCCATATACCAATAGATGAAAATTCCCATTAGTCCAAATTCTTTTTTTTTTTTTTAAAGGATTCAAATATTTTATTGTCCCATTAGCACAAATTCTTGACAACTGCTTCTGCAGGGCTTCAGTCAAATTTTGCCAATCTACTGGACATAAAATAGCACCTCCTTGCGGTTTTAACTGGCATTTGCTTGAATGAAGCTGGGATTTTTATGTTTATTGTCTATCTTGTTTTTCTTTCTTGAGAAATGTCCACTCATTTATTTTCTCCCATTATTCTGTTAAAGTTTGTCTTATTTTTAATGAAACCTAGGAGTTCTTTACAAATGGAAGAAACTTATCCCTTGACAGTTTCACAAACTGCAATCTGTTTAAGCAACTTGGCTTTTCCGTTTCTTTCTTATGTATTTTTTTGTTGTTTAAAAAATCCTTCCATTGGGTCCAGTGGCACACACCCATAATTCCAGTGGCTCGGAGGGTGAGACAGGAAAATCGCAAGTTCAAAGCCAGCCTCAGCAAAAGTGAGGTGCTAAGCAACTCAGAGAAATCCTGTCTCTAAATAAAATACAAAAAGGGGCTGAGGATGTAGCTCAGTGGCCGAGTGACCCTGAGTTCAATCCCTGGTACAAAAAAAGAAAAAAGAAAGAAATCCTTCCCTACCCTAAGGTCATAGGTATATGTGTGCTCCTATTTTGTTTCCCAAAAGTTTTCCAAGTTTTCTTTTCTTGTTTAAGCCTTTAAATGTCAATACATTTTTCTCATAGAGTGTAAGTATTACATTACTAAAAAACTGACTGCTTTTTGGCTTGACTGTTCTATGTTTCTAACTTAACTACAAACATATAGGCTGCTTCTGGCCTATTCTTTTTCCCTGGGGTAACATTATTCTGATCCATTGGTAATTACATTTACAGTAAGCAAAAGCACAAAAAATACTTACAAGTTTTGGCTTTGCTTTCTTTTTAAATAGCATGAATGGTAAGGGACAGCAATACCTAAGAAAATGGTATTTCATACTTGTTGTGGAAGTACAATATCTTATGTATATATTAAAAAATATATAAAACCTTTCTGAAAGCAAAGGTTGCAAGTCTATCAAAAATTCAGGATGTTTTATGAAGACTTCTGTTCACATACTATAAGATTTTTCTGTTTTGTTCATTGCTATATTCTCAACATATATAACAGTATTTTATACATAAAGGGGTTAGAATATTTAATGAATAAACAAGTGAACAATGATGTTCACTGCAGTATTGTTTGTACAACAAAAAACTGGAAACTAAGTTATCTATATCTCTATTACTGAAGTTTAAGATCTCACAAAAAGTATATAAAAAGAACTCCCAGACATATTAACCACCAAAAAGTAAAACAGCAAAAATACTTATTTTTTATAAGATTTTTTTATAACCTTATTATAACAGGTTATAAGACGCTTTGTTTAAAACGTTAACACTGAAACTGTAATTTGTGTGGGCTAGGTCCATGGCTCAGTGGTAGAGTGTTCGCCTAGCATGCGTGAGGCACTGGGTTCGATCCTCAGCACCACATAATAATAAAATAAAGATATTGTGACCACCTATAACTAAAAATAAATATTAAAAAAAAAGAAAGAAACTGTAATTTGTGTATATAGAAATATTTGTAATCAAATGCACAAGTAAATTTTGGAAAAGCTACAAATCAAACTGTTTATGATGATTTCCTCTGGGAAAAGGAGCAGTTTTGATAATACTCGTGATAAGGGACAATTTTATATAAGATATTCACTTATAATCCTACTAAAAGCAGCTACTATTAAGATTTTGGAATTCCCAGTGAAACTCAATATCATGTACAAAGAAATGGGATCCTAAATTAGAAAAAGTTATACTCCATGTATATATAATATGTCAAAATACACTCTACTCTCATGTATATCTAAAAAGAAAAAAAAAAAAGATTTTGGGGGCTGGGGATGTGGCTCAGTGGTAGAGCACTCACCTATCACTGCAAGGCCCTGGGTTTGATCCTCAGCACCACATATAAATAAATAAAATAAAGGTATTATGCCCAACTACAACTAAAAAATAAATATTAAAAAAAAAAGATTTTGGTATTCTCTTGTGTGCAAGTACAAAAATGTGACAGCAAATCCCATCAATATATACAACTATAATGCACCAATAAAAACATGGAGGACTGGGGCTGTAGCTCAGTGTCAGAGTGCTTGCTTAGCATGTGTGAGGCACTGGTTTCATGTTTCAACACCACATAAAAATAAATAAATAAAGGCATTATGTCCACCTACAACTAAAATAAATAAATGAATAATATGGAAAAAAAATTTTGGTATTCTCTGCTGATCTTTTTATCTACATCCTTTTTTGCCTGTTTTATTTGTGTTAAACGTATAATGTTGCGTCCAAACTTTTTCAAAAACCATTTTCCCCTCTGTTAATGTTTCTATAAACTATTTTCTCTACTTTATTCATTTGTCTACCTTTAACAAAATCATACTATATCTATTCTATATACGATTTTTAATGTCGAATGTTGGAAATTTAGATTGTTCATCCACTAAATGTCTTATTAAAAATGACTACAAGGATTGCTTTTAAATATTTAAATTCTTTTCCCACTTATTATCTTCCAAGAACAAATTGTTAGACATGAGATTACTAGGAGGTATTAAATATTTTAAAACTTATTAAAAGACACTGATGAATTTTCTTCCCCAAGGAATATGCTAAACGTTTACTAACGTTGCATGTTAGCTGTTTATTTCTTTCATTCACACCACAATTTAACATTATTTTCTTATTTGGCATCTGCTTCTCACATCTAAACTTACAAGTTGCATGTGAGCAGGGACCTTCTGTCTATTTCTAATTTTGTCCTCAATGTCTGACAATTCAAATATGTATTATAAAAATTTGAACAAGAATATTTCAAAATTACTTTATGCATTATATATAATTTTTTACATTTAAATGTACAAAACACTCGAAGAACCTAAATAAATTACTTGAACTATACTTTCATTGTTGTACTCTGAATTAATTACTTTCTATGTAGTTATAATAAATTTGTTACATCCATAAACTTGTGTTTTCTCTCTTCTAGTCTCTTTTTGTCTTTGTTTTTTGTATTTTTTGTCTACCAGAATGTCAATATTTTCTAAATAATTGTAATGAGTTTCCCTCCACACTGTAGAATCATTAACTCTTATCATTTGTCCATCATAAATGTAATTACTAAAATAATAACTTATATCTTTTCTTATTTTTCAGTTGTAGTTGGACACAATACCTCATTATTTATTTATTTTTATGTGGTGCTGAGGATTGAACCCAGGGCTTAGCATGTGCAAAGCAAGTGCTCTATCATTGAGCCACAACCCCAGCCCAACTTAACATATTTTCTGTTCTCATCTATCTAAAGATGCTTAGGAAATTATTATAGTATTTTATTTAACCTTTGAATGTTTTAAATCTTGACAGTTTTAAGACAGTCAACTTGGTGTCCTTAAAAAAAAAAAAAAAAAAAAAACCTGGATAAAACATGTTTGCAACTTATAAAAACATGTTTGCAGTTAAAGAATTTATTACCTCTCCTATTTCCATAAGTGGTTCATTCATATCTACACCACCATAGCCATACTGAAGGTCAGCTTCAGTCAATTTATTCTTTTTAATAAACTGGGTGTTGAGATACCTGAAAAACAAATGTAGTATCACTGGATACCAAGTCAAAATTAGTAAAAGAACAAACAACTTGCAACTTTAAAAATATAATTTTAGGATTATAAACTAATGAATAGTACTTGCAACTTTAGAACAATAATTTTAGGATTATAAATTAAGAAATAGTAAAGTAATAAGCCCAACAGAAATTAATTATGTAGAAATAAGGAACATAATCAAATGATGAAAATTATTAGCCCTAAGGGATAATGAATAAGACCTGGAGAGCAGAAAAAATACTATTATCACAGTTACACTTAAACTCAGGGTTTTGTTCTAAAGATTCTCAATACTCTTATGGTTCAATAGCTCTTATATAAGGGTCAGACCATCTACAATTCAATTTGCTAATTACTAGACTCTTCTTGGCAAGTCAAGATAAGGAACAATTTACAAAAGTTAAACAAACAAATAAAATGGTCAGTCAAGTCAGTTCTCTATACTTCATCACGGGGGGGGGGGGGGTGGAGTGTAACTTTTCATTTCTAAAACAAAAAAGATCACCAATAGAACAAAGGAATTAGGAAGAGCTAGGAGGAGGCAAATGAAAAGGGAAATATTGGAAAATGTATCAGTCAAATTGTGTTATTATATTGCATGCATGTATAATTATGTAACAACAAATCCCACCATTATGTATAACCACAATGCACCAATTTAAAAAAAATGTGGGGCTGGGGATGTGGCTCAAGCCGTAGTATGCTCGCCTGGCATGCACGCAGCACTGGGTTCGATCCTCAGCACCACATACAAATAAAGATGTTGTGTCCGTCGAGAAACTAAAAAATAAATATTAAATTCTCTCTCTCTCTCTCTTAAAAAAAAAAAAATGTGTATGGGGATCACAATTCGTAGGTAAGAAATGGAGGGCTGGAGATGTGGCTCAAGCGGTAGCGCACTCGCCTGGCATGCGAGCGGCCTGGGTTCGATCCTCAGCACCACATACAAATAAAGATGTTGTGTCTGCCGAAAACTAAAAAATAAATATTAAAATTAAAAATATATATATTTTTTTTTTAAAAAAAAGAAATGGAGTAGATTATTCCAGATAACAAAAGAAGGGCAAAAAAATTTTTATTTTCATTGTTTAGTTGTAGTTGGATATTATATCTTTAATTAATTTATTAAAATAAGGGCAAAATTGACTGATTTAAAATGACTATGTCTACCAGAGGAAAGTCAAATAATTTAAAAACATGTTTCAATACATTCAAAGACATAATAACTATGATGAACTCTAGGAATAACTGAGATGAATATAGAACTCTAAAATAAAATGTATAGGAAATGCCTGTAATGTTCAAGTACACATTTTCACCATCCTAGATTTCACCATAATATCTTTAAATGCTCAAAAACTAAAATTATCCATTTGAAATGTTCTGACCATATGCGTATTTAGGCAACAACCATAAAATCTGTACATTGAAACATACCCTTTCCAAGGTTCACTACACCACAATGAAGGGTCCACTTAGCTTTATAGACAACTGAAATTAAAACAAAGACAACAAAAATTTCCACTTCATAATTCCACCAACAACTTGGGGAGACAATGAAAAATACAATTCCTGGAACTGACTTCAAAGCAGAATATCCACAACATTTACGCAAACTCCACTTCTACTAATGTCCAGAATCTAGGCTTGAAGGCCCTACAACCATGATGTGTCCTTTGACATTTTAGACTACTTAGCCCAGGGTTACAAAATCATTATTTTTCCTTTCAAAGTGTCATTTATTCCTTCTTTTCCATTCTCATGGTAACTCTAGTGATCTTATTCTGTTTCCAACCATGCCTATCAATCAAGAACAGAAGAAATAAATAAAATTGAGGGACAAAATTAAAAGGCAGAGAGAAGATGGACTCATCGCCTGCAATGAGGGTCTACAAGGTCCTATAATAGTTGGCCCCTGTCTTTTAGATCTCAGATCAAATATACCTTTCAGGCCTTCCCTGACCCCACTCTAAAATTAACCTTAACTTCCCACTCCCAACAAAGTAACTATTTAATTCACAGCTGTTTTACTTTCTTCACTTACTTGCTTTCTGTAAAATAACCTTTTATAATTGCTTTCCCTTTTTTGTATACCCATGTCCTCTAAAGAATGTCTTACAGTGTCAAAAACAGTAGTAGGCAAATATCAAGTCCTCAAAAAATACTTATTCAATGACTTACTGAATAAATAAATGGATAACATTTCAGACAGCAGGGATAGCAAAAACTAATATCAGAACAGAAACTTGGAAGAGTAGCCCAGAGCCAGATCATAAAACCATGACTGTCAGGAAATAAAAGTAATCAGTAACATTTATTTGCATCATAACACGTGTCAGGCATAGCCCTAAGGATTCTGCATGGCTGAACACTATGGGTAGATACATGTGGCACTATGATGATCTTCATTTTATAAATAAGAAAACAGGGGCTGGGGTTGTGGCTCAGAGGTAGAGCATTTGCCTAGCATGCGTGAGGCACTGGGTTCGATCCTCAGGACGACATAAAATAAAATAAAGATATTGTGTCCACCTATAACTAAAAATTTAAAAATAAAGAAAGAAGAAAATAGCAGCTTGGAGAGCTTAGAAAGCTTGCCATGGTCAATCTGCTATTAAGTAGCTGAGCTGGAACAGAGACTTGGGAATTCTCCTACTCTCCTTCAACTGGTATCAGTCAAGTACTATATATCAGGTACCATGCAAGGTACTGGGGACAAAAAAACATAAAACAAAAATGTGATGTCTGTTCACACAGAGCTTACACATATAATAGAATACATGAACAAATATAATATTTCAACAATGCCATGCCAAGTCAATGAAACTTAATTGTCATATATTTACCATTTATGTGTGCATTATGTGCCTTTCTATATGGATCCTTTACTCCAAACCAGTTTTTGTTTGGGGTTTTTTTGGTGAATGGTACCATGGTCAATCCAATAATCCCACCTAAAACATTACTGTCACTTATGTCACCCTTTGATTTTTGTCTCCTTTAAGGTCTTACTGTTCTTCCAAACTACTTATCATCTCCTGCCATTACTTCCATTTAGTTCTAATGCCACTGTTTGCCCTCTTGGATAGATCATGTGCAAAATTCTCATGATTCATTTCTATTTCTGGTATCTCTTGTTCATCTAAAAAATTCTCTTTTCAGATGTTGATTCCCTAATCTGAATTCTACAATAGCTCCCTCTTATCTACATAACAAGTAAAATTATTAACACTATGGTTTGTTAACTTTAAGATATAGCAGCTAGCTATGCAGATTAGGTCTTTATTCACTAATGCACTGCAAAGATCTTGAATGTGTATTCTTAGACCAATATATGGTTTTGGTGTAGTTTTGTGCTTTTAATCTGACAAGACAAGCCACTATTCTCTTTCTTTTTCACAGGATAAAATTCAAACTAACTCATATTAACTGAACCTTTATTTCTTGTACTAGATTTCTTCACAGTTAATTCATACGATGAACTTTTAAAATAAAGTCATAATAAAAATATGAACAGTAATTTTTCATTTTGATATAATACTTTTCTTAATTTAAGTAAGTGTAATATTTTACAATCAAATTCATTAACCACACATTTGTTTGTACATGAATGTATATATTCCAGGAAATCATAAAACAAAATAGCTTCCAATGATAGCTTATTCTACCCCAAAGGCCAATATCTGATTGTTTCACTTATGTAACAATGTATTAGTACATGTTCTTTAAATTTTTTTCAATTGAGTAATTAATAAATATGCTTTGCTTTTATATAGTCTTAATAGCAATACAATTTATAGCAATACTTGACAAAACTACTAACCTAAGGTAACTGTTTTTCTTCTTCTTTTTTTTTTTTTTTTTTGAGACAGTGTCTCTTGTTTGTTTTTAGCAATGCTGGGGGTCAAACAAAGGACCTAGTGCATGCCAGCAAGCACTATACACTGAACCATACCCCAGCACAGATAATACAGAGGCCCTTCCATCCTAGAAAATTCCAGTATAAGAATTCTTCTCATGCTCATATCCATCTATTCTCATGTAAGAGCTATTTGTTCTCAAGCTTGTATCTTAAGTACTCCACTATATGGACTGACAGGGTCTAAACAGGCATATAGAGCAACAGGAAAAAGTAGGGCAGGAAAAATTATTGAAATGTTAAGTCACCTATGCTAATGGATATTCATCTTATCAATCAATCATAGTAAAGAAGAGACTAGAAATACTTCATAAAAATATTAAAAATAGCCAGGTGCGAAGGTGCCTATATCTCAACAGCTCAGGAGGCTAAGATAGGAGGATCACAAGTTCAAAGCCAGCCTCAGCAAAAGTGAGGCGCAAAGCAACTCAATGAGACCCTGTCTCAAAATAAAATACAAAATAGGGCTGGGGATGTGGCTCAGTAGTCAAGTGCCCCTGAGTTCAATCAGGACACCCCTCTTCACCAAAAAAGGGCTGAGGATATGGCTCAGAGGTTTAAGCCCCTGAATTCAATCCCTAGCAAGCAAACACACACACACATTAAATGCTTTTGAAATAAATCTGAAATTTTTCCTCTTTACATTTTGTTAGATGGTGACTAGCAACAGTGACAACCGAACCACCAAGCAAGCAAAACTATTAAGCAGTTTTCATCTGATTACTGCCAACCATGTCCTCTGTGAAAAGGATATCAACACTTAACTCTACCAATATAATTAAATAAATAAAAAGCAGTCACACCACCAGAGAGGCCAAGCAAAACACTGTTAACTGAATCCCATGGGCCATCAGCTCTAAGTCTTTGCTATCAACAGTGGAAAGTTACTAAGTGATTTTAGAGAATCATCAAATTTGCACTTTAGAAAAGATAATACAAAAAGCTTTCCAGATAGAATAAATGAGAAATCAATGACTTAAAAGTATGAGGTAGGAGAACTGCAAATTCAAAGCCAGTGTGAGAAACTTAGTGAGATCCTGTCAAGGGCGGTGGGGGGGGGGGGGGGGGCGGGGCTGGGGATGGGGCTCAGTGGTAGAGTGCTACTGAGTTTAATCCCCAGTACTACTGGGTTAGGGAGGAAGGATAATAAGCTCACTTTTTAATATATTCAATAGTATAATGTACCTATGGAACAATCTGAAGGGATAGGCATTTTGGTTTAAAAAAAAACAACAAAACAAAACAAACAACAAAAAACACTTCTTTTAAACTTAGGCTACCTGGGATAAACATATACTTTGGTACATATAGGTTGTAGCTAAAACCAGGAATAATTGAATTCACCCCAGAAAAAAAAAAAATGTGTAGTATAAGAAAATGATGAGAACAGAATCTACTTAAGTGACTAAAAATTTCTGTATGTGGAATAAGACCAGGGTAGAATGAAGAGGTTAAAACATGAGCTTTGAAATCAGACTGACCTGGGTTTAAATTCTGCCTCTCACTCATTAGCTGAGTGATCTTCAGCAAAGTCATTAACCTCTTCAAGCCTTCATTTCCTCCACTGTAAAAATGGAGATACTGACTACCTCATATGGTTTTACACAAACACATACACACATGGGTGTATATCTTATATATTGCAACATTTACTAAATACCCAAAACTATCATCAGTATAATAGCAGTAATTTAAATAGCTCCAAATTAATTGATTTTTAGTACACACATCAAATTATGTCCTACCACACTAACAAACAGAAAAACAACTTAAAGCTTTACTAAAATACATCAGCTAAGAAGGGATACCACTGCATGGTACAAGCTAAACACTTTCTTCTAAGGCCCACTCGTCCCAACAATGACAAAAGCATGCATGCACACTAACCCTTATCCTTAAAATTTGCAATACTCCTCTGTGATTTCGCTAGGAAAATTTTTTATTTTGTAATTTGTTTTATTTTGTTTGTGGTGATGAGGATCAAATCCAGGGCCTTACTCATGCTCAGCAAGCTAGCACTGATTTATACCCTCAGACCTTAGCTAGGGAACTCTTAACTTTTTGATTAAGGAAGAAAATCAAATGTCAAGATGTTTAATGTACAACAAACACTGTTCTATGAAAGCCCAAACCACAGTAAATCTGTGCTTGACAGCAACTAGTTTTTCATTTTATTATATTTCACTCTTCTAAATGCCACTGAGTCACTGAAAAGCAAGTCAAGTTTCTAATACAAGCAACTCAGAGTGAGTAAACCCCAGTTCTGTTATAAAAACTTTTGGGAATACGAACTAGTGAGGCAAAAAGGAAAACAAACAAGCCATGAGAACCGAGTGCTGGTCTTGCAATAAGGTACTACTACAAAGTATGGTGGGGCTGAACAGATAGTATGTGGAGACCCAGCTCAACTCCTTCATTTCTCTCCAATGAGAAACTGAAGAAGTGGCACGTCTGTGGTCCATGCCACGTATGGACCAAAATTATCACTGCAACCACTAAAAGCCATAATTATTTATTTTGAGAGAAGACATCTTAGGACCAAGGGTTAAAGAATCAGGCATTAATGCCATTATTCTTTACTTATCAACTATTCCTTACATGGTTAAGTAATCATACACAGCATAACAATATTTTTGGTCAATTACAGATCATATATACAACAGCGGTTCCTAAGAGTATGTTGCTTAGTGACATCATAGCCATCTTAATTTGGGTATATATAGGCTATGATGTTTGCACAATGAAACCACCCAAAGACATATTTCTCAGAATACATTCCTGTTATTATGTAATGCAACACTGTCTTAGGGAGACCCTGTACTTAAATACAAAACAAAAAACCAGGGATTAGAGAAGACCTTGTCATAACCTGCCATCCAAAGAAAGGAAGAAAACAATCCAGACAGATGGAGTCATATGGGGAAATATGGGAAGATGTAAGAGACCATGGAGCAGTATAAAAATACAGTATCAATATACATGAAACACAGGATAGGAGAACTTAAGAGGAAAACTACTGAGCATTTCTGGTGCTTTAACTAAGTGTTTCCATGAAACAAAGTACTGAATGCTAAAGTCAAAAGAGAACTTATAGGGCTGGGGGTGTAGCTCAGTGGTTACAGTGAATGCCTACATCCATGAGGCCCTAGGTTCCATCCTCAGCACCACAAAAAAAAAAAAAAAAGGAGACGTATTCTGAAATTTATTCCACTAAGTTTCAACCAAACTGAATATTTACAATGATCTCTATTGAGATTTAACAAGTGCTACAGTTACCAAAAACAGAGTTATGCTGTTACATACAGTTTTACTTTTCTACTGAATAACTTTCTGCCTATCTCCCAAATACCCACCTGACCTAAACTCTAGACCTTTTCCAGTAGTAAGGAAAGTCCATGTAAAAGAGGACAATTTAATTCTGTCCATTTCAGTGAAAAAATAGGTAATAAAAAATTATCCTTCAAGTATTGAATGCAGGTAGTACTGTTTGGATTATTAAGTGTTTAAAAGTATACTTACCTATATAAGCAGTCCATATAATCTGCACCCTTGCTGTATTCTTCCCAGTACCTATGATACATAACAAGTACTTGTTCTTCAGACTCCAGTACTCTCTATATTAAGAGAAAATAATTTTTTACTTAAATAGTACTAATAATTTTCATTGTAAACTATAAAATACATCAAAATATTCTAAAATAACTTATTTAAATCAAGCACTATTAAGTTACCCTTACAAATTATTTTTAAATTTAACTACCTTTAGTACAAATAAAACAACTGGGGGAAAATGTGAACCTAAGACATGAAAGGGAAGCCTTCAAAGAAACTGTTTCATTCCTCAAGATAAAAGGACAAAAAGTAATGGTTTGATTTTTGTCTTTGGGATAGATGGATACGATCAGTTTAAAATAGAAACACATAATTCTATCGTCATATCTGTTTCCTCATACCCATAACCTCTGATCAATCTATATAAATAAATATATCATCACCTCATTTTTGTGAATAAGACTATTTATAGAAATTGGTACCTTTTATACATTCCACCAATCCCTAGCATAGCAAAAATGAAAGAGGGGTGGAATCCCATATATAATATATGAAACTTGTCAGACTCTGGCTTAAAAAAAGCACACACACCTATAAAATAATGCAAGTACACTGAATATTCAAGAAATCTTGGGTGCTCTGATCTCAATTCTTTCATTAACTGTCCAAATGACCTCAAGTAAAACATGACTTCAATTTATATCTAATTAATTCTTTGATGAAGTGCCATGCTTTTAAAACTAGGATTTTAACAATTAAGGCTTAGAATAATTTTTAAAAAACCTACAAATAGCACTTTCTGTCTTATCAAATTAGTAAATTAAAAACAGCATCTCTTCAAGAAGGTGGAACACACCAGTAATCCCAGTGGCTCAGGAAACTGTTTGATTCCATGGCTAAAAACTGATCCTAAAAAAATTATACGGGTTAGAGGTGTGGCTCTAACCCAAGGGCACGTTTAGCACATATAAGATCTTGGGTTCAATCTCCAGCACCCACCTCTCCCCAAAATCTCATGGTTACACAAGAATGTTCAGAATACTATTTATAGTAACAAATTATATAAAATGGAAATTATCTACCCAGCAATGAGAATATTTCAACCATAGTATCTCTATACAATGAAAAATTTAGAAATTGTCAGAATTACAAATATATTTAATGAAAAAGGAGATCTGCAGTATTATTAAAAGCAAAAGAGATTATCAAAGTAAGTAGACTTTACTTTCTAACAAAGAAGCCTAAGGCTTGGGAGGCTGAAGCAGGAGGAACGCCAAGTTCAAGGCCTCCTCCCCAACTTAGTGTGGCCCTAAGCATCTTAGCAAGACCCTTCCTCAAAAAAAAAATTAAAAGGATTGGGAGAGATTATATGAAGCAAAACTACACCAAAGGCAGGCATACATAAAATTAAGAATATTAATATGTACAAAATAGATATGTTTAAGTACAGACATTAAAATATTAACAGTGGTTAATTCTGGAAGTATGTCATATGTGATATTTATATTCTACTTTTTCTAATCTGTATGTTATAAATCATCTGTCATGGTAATACAATATTGTGGTAATGAAAAAAGTTCCTTCTCCTAAACAAGTGAAATTTTCTTCTCACAGGTAAAACTGCTTGAATTCTGCTGGTTGTATAATAATGTATTTCTGTCATATATACATCAACCAACTTCTCTTTTTCATAAGATCTGAGAGAACATATAGCATGTAACTATTTAAGTATTGTAAACTGTCATAAAACTGCTTTGACCTTTTTTTCCTTTTCTTTTTTCTTTCTTTTTTTTTTGGCAGTGCTAGATATGAAATCCAGGGCCTCACATATAAGCAAGCATTCTATTAATGAGCTATACCACTGGCCCAGAATATCATTTTTAAATCACACAATTATATAAATATTTGCTTCTTGGTTTTAATAACCATACTGTTGTACAAGATTTTAACATTAAGAATCTGGGTAAAATATACAAGAACTCCCCATACTATGCTTACAACTTTTAAGTTTAAAATTATTTTAAAATCTAAAAGTTTTTTTTAAATAATCATATAACCTAACCTAAAATATAAAAATCACAAAATTTATACATGTCTGACAAAATTATCAATTATGTTATAACCAAAGCTCACTAGCTTACAATGAAATAATTTTTAATAATTTAACATATTAAACATTAAGACCACTTTAGAGGACTTGCTATCAAAACCACTTTAATGACCTAATAAATGCATACATCAGAACACTAAAATGTACATGCCACAGACAAGAAATACAACAACAAAAAGTACACCAATTCCTTCAAAAGTTTTAAGGGTAGCACATAATCAATTGCACCTACTTTTGAGTTGTTACATTTTAAAAAGTATCTCTTCTTGGTCATATGCAGGGTTAGATGCTTTTTGAAGATTGTTTTATTGTTTTATGAAGATTGTTTTATTCTATTTCATAAACTTAAAATTTACTCCACAAGGTAGTTGTGAGTTTCCACAATTGTAGCAACAGCTAACAAAAAGTAGAATGAAGATTCTAGCATAGGCAATTAGTTATTTCCCCCAGTTCCTGATAAGATCAGGAGTCCAAAATAAGTTAGAAAAACATTGCAGCATTGTTTATACACAGATCAAATCCATGATTTTGCTCTCACATACAGAACACTAACCAAAATAACTGGTCAAAGCCAGGTGGCACACACCTGTAATCCCAGCACCTCAGGAGGCTGGGGCAGAAAGATGCCAAGTTTAAAGCCAGTCTCAGCAACTTAGTGAGGCCCTAACCTACTTAGCAAGAACCTGTCTCAAAAATAAAAAATAAAAAGGCCTAGGGATATGGCTCAGTAGTTAAGTATCTCGGGAATCAACCCCTGGTACCAAAAAAAGGAAAAAAATAACTGGTCAGAAAGACAGCTTTCTACAATGCTTTTTAACTTACTGATTCTCTTTTCAATTTTATGTTTTTAGAAGACTTTATATAGAATGTGAAGAGGCAGCTAAAAGGTTAAAAATAAAGAGAGATTTATCAAGAGGTTGGTATATTCAAAAGGTAAGGGGAAATTTACTTGTATAAACATCATCCAAAGAATGTAAAAAGCACTTTTAACTTTAGTTGATTTTGCTCTTTCACATACTAGTTACATGATCTTGAACAACTAAACTGATTTCCCCTGTAGAACACAATAGCATAGTGTTTGACTCATGGATAAATGTAAAAATAGAAAAATGCTATTTAAGAAACAAGATACAAACTTGAATTCGTAAGTTTTGCATTTAAAAGTAGTGTGCCAGGGCTGGGGTTGTGGCTCAGAGGTATAGTGCTGACCTAGCACTTGAGAGGCACTGGGTTCGATCCTCAGCACCACATAAAAATAAAATAAAGATATTGTGTCCACTTATAACTAAAAAAAAAAAAAAATTAAAAAAAGGAAAGTAGTGTGCCAGTCAATAACCATGCAAGTATAAAGGTATTTATATCATGCATGTATAGTCCTTACCTTGTGCAAATGCCGGACGTGATTTTCCAAAAAAATCTTAGTTTCTGTGTAAAGTCTTTCTCCAAGAGGTTCAGGATAGGCCACACATAAAGCATAGATATCTCTAGTTACATTATTAAGGTTATTTCCTTCATTAGGGTTATTTTTAACTTATGAAACTTACATGAACTTTTTTTTTGTTTAGGCTCATAAATAATATGTGTAATATTGTTATAGCATACAATACTGTGTATAATATTATAATACTATTCTATATCTATGTCAAAGGTAAAATACATAACCATGCTTTAAAAAGCTCTATAAGATTCATTTATTTATTTGTTCAACAAGTTCTTAGTGACAATTATTTGAAGGCATTGTGAAAAAAAATGGTTCTTATCAAAGCAGTTAAATCCAAAAGGGGCTTCTGTGATAAAATTAACCAGAAACCTACAAAATAAGGTTTATGTAAGAGTGGACGTAAGCATAATATCAACAAAGCACTATGGAACATCACAAGAGATGAATACAAGAGAAACTGTGATAAACCAGTTACAAAAATTAATCATCTAACACATTTTTCCACATCATATAAGCTATTCACTGTCTTTCAGCATTTATTCTACTACAAGAAATATAGTATGAATAGTAACAGTGATGTCAACCAGTCAGTTAAGTCTTTGAACACCAACGAAATAACTTTCTAAGCATCTCAGTGGTAGATTTGCTGTAGCAGAGCATTCCTAACAAGGAGTTACAAGCAATGAGCTCTAATTGAGACTTAATTTGTTCTAGCCATGATTATGCCCACATCTCTTAGCCTGTCCAAGTTGCCATTTCCTTTTTAATATCCTTTGCTTGGAATCTTCTCCACACCACCAAGAATTAAGAAAATTATACTAAGAAAGACAAAAAAGACCCAAGACAAAGCCAAGTTATGATCTTTGAACCAGACACAGTATTAGACTAATATTCTGAAGATAGTGTGTTTAATATGCTGCTACCAACAGTGAAAAAGCATTTTGGAGGTAACAGCTTGCAACATACAGATCAAAACCTCCTGGAAGTTGTACTGCAAGATCATATCATGGTAAAGCTATGGTACGTGATTAGTAAAATCATCATAACTATTCGCCATGGTAATAATAAACTCTCCCCCTGATATTTCTACTGAGCCCGTTAAGACTCAAATAAGCTCTTATATGTTAAGTTGCTTCATAAACTATGCCTCAGTAACCAAATGTGGAAGATAAAACACACATGAGCAATCTGAGACCAGCCTAACTACAAATGCAGATATAGTTGAAAATAAGATTATTCAAGATATCTCAAGTATTTATATTTAATACAAAGATAGAAAATATTAAAATATTTTATTACAAAAAAAATGTGTGCTTAAAATCATGGTAGGATGCTGGTTCTTTCATCAATATATCCCCGTAACACTTCATGTATTCTACAGATTCAGAATCTGTATTTTTATACAATAAAACTTTATACAATAGAGATTACTTATACACTTGCCATCCATAGTACTGTGTTCTTATTCTTGTCACTTCTATATTCCCAACTCCCATGCAGTCCTGGTGCTTATTACATGCTTACCCAAGGAAAGGAGGTAGGGAATCAAATCTCATGATCTCTGCCAACTTACTGAGAATTCTTATGCTAGAAGGAGTAAGAAGTCCCCTTCTTGTGAGGTAGTCTGGTAGACTTTGGTAAGACATTCCCAACTTCTAATTTTTTTCTTTTTCTTTTTCTTTTTTTTTTTTTTTTTTTTGCAGTGCTGAGTATCAAACCCAACGCTTAACATACAATGGGCAGTCTATTACTGAACTATATCCCCAGTCTTCTTATTTATTTTTTATTTTAATGAGTAACTAATAAAATATATATTTATACATCCAATAAAGGGGAAGAAGGGGCATTTCTGGGAAGCTAGGAGTGTCTATTTACTGGATATTTAGGTATGTGCACTTTGTGAAAATGCTTCTATACATTCAATAGTCAGTATTTGTATTATCATTAAATGAAAAAAAAAATTAAGACTAAATTTAGCCAGGATTAAATCAACTATTCTTTTAAGAAGGGCGGTATGTACTTAGTATATTAAAGTACTTCCAGATATTTCAGCCAATATTTGTTCTATTTTATCCTTAAGTCACACATATCCTTCTTTAGGGAGACCAGCACACAAAAAACCCTCTATGAATTTTCCACTCACAAATTCCCAGTCAGAAACAAAGCTTTAATCCTGAGTAAAAGCTCTGAACTTGGTTACAATCAAATGATAGTGCCAACAAGCAGCAAAATTATTTTAGTTCATTTTCTCTAGCTCATGCCTATAATCCCAGCAACACAGGAGGCTGAGACAGGAAGATCGAAAGTTCAAACCAGCCTCAGCCTCAGCAAGGCACTAAGCAACTCAGTGAGACCTTGTCTCTAAATAAAATATGAAATAGGGCTGTGGATGTGGATCAGTGGTTGAGTGCCCCTGAGTTCAATCCCCGGCACCCACTTCCCAAAACAAAAACGCTTCCTATATTTAGACTCAATTCTGAGTTTTAAAAATATGAACTTTATTATATAGTGGGAAAAGTATAGGGAGGATCTTACAATGGGAATAAAAGTAATGATTATATTAAAATTGAAAACAGTAAAAATAACCAATAAAGGGTCTGACAACAAAAAATATAATGTAGACAATACCTACCTCCTGAGATTATTGTGAGGATCACAGAGATAAGTATAGATAAAATCTATTATGAGCTATACAATCTAAAAAAGAATGATGATGCCAAGTGGAGTGGCACATGCCTGTAATCCTAGTAGCTCAGCTGAGACAAGAGGATCTTGAGTTCAAAGCCAGCCTCGGCAATGATGTGGCGCTAAGAAATTCAGGGAGACCCTGTCTCTAAATAAAATATAAAATAGGGCTGGGGATGTGGCTCTGTGCTCAAGGGCCCATAAGTTCAATTCCCGGTACCCCAAAAAAATTAAAAAATAAAAAAGTGATGGAGTGCTAGTGTAAATGTCACAGTTATTAATAAGTTCTCATAACATTTGTGGAGACTGTCAAAAATAGATATTTTTCCATCTATTCAAACTGGTCTATGTTTGAAAAAGATGCTTGATAGAATATAAATTAGAAATGAGGACAACAGTATCCCTGGTTTTAAACCATAGAAGGATGAATTAATTTTCTCACCTGGGAGAAATACATTCAGGGAAAGCAATCTTAAATCTCCCCTTGAGTAATCACTTTGGATTTATATTCAACAATGCTGAATTTAACATCCCTAACTAGGAATACAGGTACATTGTACTACCAGGGCATGGGAATTTGTCCTAGCAACTACTAAAAGGCAGAAAATCAAGAATAAAAAAGTAAAGGAGCCAAAGAATTCCAACCACGTGAAACAGAGTAAATGTATATCATATCACCTAGCCTCTCTTACTGGAGGAAAGCACCTGACAAACTAAAAGGGTAGATTCCAAACATGCCTAGAGAAAGCACCAATGCTGTCACAAAACTTTTATTATGAAGCATCACTGTGATGGGCAGTATTCTAAAAATACCTTCCCAGAATTTCCCTAATATCAGGGACTGTGAGATACAAATGTCATTTATGTGGCAAAAGAGACTTAGCTGCAATTAATTATTACTAACCAGTTAATCCTAATGGAGATTGTCCTGGACAATTTGGAGTATCTAACCTAATTACACTGGCCCTTTAAAAGAAGACACCTCCCACCTCTCCCCCCACACACACACAGCTACACTTCCACCTCCACCTCAAGTTAACTATATACCAAGTTAGCTACAGTAATTTGAGAGTAAAAGCACTTTAAGATTTGACATGACACTATTAGCTTTGAAAATGGAGTGGGGCCACACAAAAAAAACTGAAAGTGAACACAGATCACTAAGAATAACTCCCAAACAAAAAGAAAATGAGGATCTTAGTCCTGCAACTATAAGGAATTGAATTCTGCCAATTAGCAAGAATGAGTTTGCTAGGTGCAGTCTCACACACCTGTATTCCTAGGGAATCAGGAAGCTTCAGCAGGTGGATTGCAAGTTCAAGATCAGCCTAGGCAATTTGGTAAGACCATGGGTCAAAATAAAAAAATAAAAAGGGCTGGAGATGTAGTGCAGGAGTAAAGAACCCCTGGGTTTGATCCCTAGTACCACACACACACAAAAAAAAGAATGAATTTAGATGAGGACCCCTGGATGATACTATAGCCAACTAACTCCTTGATTTCTGCCTTATATTCTAAGCAGAGAATCCAGTCCTATTATGGACTTCTGATCTACAGAACTGTGAAATAATAAAAATATTTTATAAGGGTTTTATTAAACTACTAAAGATGTGATAATTTGTTATGCATTACCAGAAAACAGACGGTGGGGGGAGGGCGGGTGTACTGGGAACTGAACTCAGGGGGACTCGACCACTGAGCCACATCCCCAGCCACATTTTTGAATTTTATTCAGAGACAGGGTCTCATTGGGTTGCTTAGTGCCTCGCTTTTGCTAAAGCCAGCTTTTAACTCACAATCCTCCTGCCTCAGCCTCCTGATCCACTGGGATTAAAGGCATGCACCACCATGCCCAAAAAACCAGAAATTTTCTATAAACATTTATCATAATGCCTTGCCTACATACCTAAAACCATTTATGAAGGATTAGTGTTAAGAATCCTGCTTATTGGGCTGGGGATGTGGCTCAAGCGGTAGCACGCTCGCCTGGCATGCGTGCAGCCCAGGTTGGATCCTCAGCACCACATACAAACAAAGATGTTGTGTCCGCCGAAAACTAAAAAATAAAAAATATTTTTAAAAAATTCTCTCTCTCTCTAAAAAAAAAAAAGAATCCTGCTTATTAACCAGCCAAATATTAATGTTATTTGTTTCATCTGTACAGTATGCTTAATGACAGTTAATAGCATCTATTCATTCACCAAATATTTGCTTAAATATTTATATGTACAAAGTTTTGGAAATATTTCATTGAATATAAAAGAACAGAGGGATTGAAATATAGCAAATGGAAGAGTGCATGCTGAGCATTAATGAAAGCCTGGATTCAATTCCCAACATACACCAAAAACCAAAATAAAAAAAAAAAAAAAATCTCTGCTTTCAAGGAGCTTATGGATTCAATATGCATTTGCACATTAAACACTCCAGTTAGCAGATCAACCTTCCTTAATATCCATTTCAAACAGATCAGACAGCCTTCTTACCTCAATCCTACAGCATCAGTAAATCATCTCACCCTTTTCAGATCACACCCTAAAATGAGACGAATAATACATCCCATACAAGATTGTTTGTAACAAATTAATGTTATACACATGTTGAAAGAAAAATGACACACAAAAAATGTTCACAGTATGATTCCACTTATATAAAATTCAAAAAACAAAGAATAGACCAGTATTATTTAGGGTTGTATAAATAAGTAAATAATAGGTGCAGGTCAAGCTTGCTAGTTATCTCCTAGAGAGAGGGCACTTGTGAACTGATAGAGCCCATGATTTAAGAAGGGTTGATGAAAGCTAACAATATTCTACTTTTGACCTGAGTGGTAGTATGCAAGTGTTTTCATTATAACATTTGTTCAACTGTCTATGTATTTTAGTGAATTTTTCCATATATGTGTTGTATTTCATACCACCAAAAATGCTTTCTAAAAGATCAAAATACTAACATGTATGATGATATCATCTGCGGAGGCTTTTTTCATTTTCAAAATAATAATAAGTTTCGCAGTCTCTAAAATTTCTGCTTAAGATATTGAAGTATCAGAAGTCCATTTTATATTCTCAGACAAAGTAATAGAAAACAAGGGAATTTTATCTTAGAACAATTAAAACGTAGCCCTTTGTTTTCCAAAGTTTCTATTCTTTAATTTTACTATAATATTTTACTTTGGAGAAAGACGGAGAAAATTCATAATCAAGTCAATATTCTATTGAACATTTTATATGAAATAAACAATAAACTCCTTAAAAATAACAGTGACTGAAAGGTCATTATCCAGGGAAGTCATCTATTTTAAAACCACATATAAATCAACCAATTAATTATATATGCTGTACAATAAAGCATAATTATATTTCTTTTCACTAAGACTCCTGCTTTGCAACAACCCATAATGTTCCACAGAAAAATTAGCCATCTAAGAGATTAATTCAATTAATAAGCTCTTCAATGGCAAAATTCATAATTATCCTTTAGAAATACTGAAAAGCAAAAAGAACTGGATATTAAAATATTGTATTGAATTCTGTGCTCCATCAATTACTACTTGTATGACCCTTGGCAAATCCCTCAGTTATCTCTTAGATTAGTTTCCTCCTTTGTTTCATCAAGACAGTAGTTATATTTTCCCACTGATCTGACAGACTTGTTTGAGTATCAAATAACTCAAAATATGTAAATCTCTGCAAACTATAAAACCTTCCAGAAACATCTGAATTATCTTCAGTGTCCAGAACACAGATAGCCTACCTAACAAATGTTCCCCACTGAGAACCGCAGTTGTAATAAATTAAATGGTTTCCTGTTGGTCTGAAACAACTTCACTATTCTTACATCAATATTCAGCTTTATATTGAGAGGTACTAAGAACAAGCTGAATCACTGTCTTTTCTTCTAAAGATGCCCCATGTAACAAGGGGAATCCTTAGCCGCAGAATATTGCTAAAAAGGGAGCACTTGTTATGTCTAGCAGATTGGTGTCACATAGAAATGCACTGATAATGGCTTGCAGAGCATTCTAGGGAAACCACAAATCTGTATTTTTATATAAAATGGAGATAATTATCCAATTTAAAAACATGTTTCCATCTCAGTCAAACTCACTGTTCACCTTCTCCTAAGAACACTACTATGATTTAGATAAATGTCCCCCCAAAGGCCCATATGTTGAAGGCTTGGTCACTAGCCTGTGGCAGTACTGGGAGTAAAGGTAGAAGAACCTTTAAAAGGTGGGGCCTAGTCAGAGAAAGTTAGTCACTGAAGCTGCCCCCTTGAAGGGGTATCTAGGACTCCAGCTTCTTCTCCTCTCTGTTTTCAGGCTGACGTGAGGTAAGCAGCTTCTTCTGACACATGCTGCCACTATGATATATTTACCTCTCACTACCACAGGCCCAAAGCAACAGGGATAAGAGAACATGGACTAAAACCTCTGAGGATCATGAGTCAAAATAAGCCTTTCTTCCTTATAAGTTATCTCAACTATTTTGTTAAAGTAATGGAAGGCTAATTAGTATAAACACTCTTCCTTCAGATTATCTGTGTCTCTTGCTCCCTTACTTTTTTAATCTTTCCCAAAGTGTCACTATCCTTGGGGAGATCTTCCTTGACCACTCTACAGACAGAGGGCACATGCACACAGTACTCTAAGCCTTTTTCACAATATTCACCACTGCATATAATTAAATGTATCACTGCAGCCAGGCACAGAGGCACATGCCTGTAATCTCAGTGGCTCAGGAGGCTGAGGCAGCCAGATCTCAAGTTCAAAGCCAGCCTTAGCAATTTGGCGAGGCCCTGAGCAACTTAGTGAGACCCTGTCTCAAAATAAAAAATAAAAAAGGCTGAGGATGAGGTCAGTAATTAAGCACCTCTAGGTTCAAGCCCCACTATAAATCAATCAATCAATTATTTTTAAATGCTCATTAAGTATTTGTTAAATGAAAGGTTATAAAATACTGGTTGCCACAAAAGAGGTGATAAACTTGGAAAGGTAAACGATAATATATTTGGAAAGAGTTACAGAGGAAGTTCTCCCATTTCAATAAATTTAAATCTATTTCCACTTTTCAGTAAGTTTATTAATTTTAGAACATTTATTAAGATGCTACTAAAAGGATACGAGAAGCGATCATTCCATGTTGCTCTTTCGACATATTCCAACATGACAACTGCTTTGATTGTAGTCAGAAGTTTGTTCCATGTTTCATCAAAATCTACTACTCTTGGTTTCAAAGACATTGTGCAAGTTTAGTGTTGAAATCTGTTGATAAAAAAAATAATAATAGCATGAATTCTACCATCTCTAATAGTTGTTTTTAAAGCACAACACAATTAAACTGCATGATATATGAAAGGAGTGGAAACAGAAACTGGAACACAGTAAGGACACAAAAAATGTTGGCTATCGTCTTTTCATTTAGGAATTTTGTAGAATGGTCAAAGGTGCCATTTCAAAGATTCACAAATAATAATTTAATAATGCTGAGTAAAAGTTAGGACCCCATTAACCAAAAAACCACCTCCCATCATGGGAAATATGCAGGAGACATTTAAAAAAGATTTTGGCCACAAATCTTTGTGACTCACCCTCCTTAAACTTAAGGATGTTCTGTACACAAGGGAATATGAGAAGACACAAGAAAATAAAAGGGTTTATCTTCCTGGAACATCAGTTTAGGTTTGATGAGGAAGGAAATTGACATTTATATTAAAACAAACAAATGAATGGTGGAGTAAAATGCAAAGTTTACCTGAAATTTTAAGATTAAAAGATTTTAAAGAGAGGATGGGGTTGTGGCTCAGTGGTAGAGTGCTTGCCTAGCATGTGTGAGGCACTGGGCTCATTTTCAGCACCACACATAAACAAATAAATATAAGGTCCATTGACAACTAAAAAATATTTAAAAAAAAAAAAAAGATTTTAAAGAAATGTCAGGTTTGCAGCAAAGTTCTTAAAGCTCCTCAGTTTCTTGGGGTATGTGGTCCCCACTCCTATAACAAAAAGCACAGCACTAGCATGGAACTCCAGGGTCAAGTACATTTGATGGGTCTATAGGAAAGCTAGAAGACTCCTGCCTGGTAGACAAGTTATATTTAGCAATTACTTGGTTTCTGGAACAAAGGTATCCCAAGGTTATAGAAACTTGGTTCAAGCAGATTCTAAATCTTTCTCAGCACATCAGAGAAACAGAAACAAACCAAAGTCTACCTCCTGGCCTTAATCTCATACCTGTACTATCAAGAATGGATCAGCAGAGGTCTCACTGTGTGTTTGGGTTAAGAGGTGGGAGAACTTAACAAGTTTCCTTACCTCTAAATCTGTGAATTTATCTTAACACCTTCTCTCCCTTATCTACCACATCCTATCCAACTACTGTGCTCCTAAGTGTTTCCTAAATCCATCCATTGCTGTGTAAACTATATATGCTCTAGGATCAAGTTCTTGGCAGAAATAGTGACAGTTGTTAGTATTTATGTAGTGATTACTATGAGTCAAAAGTATTATCCTCAGTGCATTGTGTTAATAAACATTTTAAGTCCCCCAACAATCTGACAAGTATGTACTGCTATTCTCCCTATTTTCTGCATAAGAAATCTGAGTCACAGAAAGATTAAGAAACTTGCTGAAGGTCACAGAACTATGTAATAATGGCATCACAATTCAGGAGCCTGTGCTCTCAACTCTTATACTGCTATTCATTTTTAGGAAACACTCTTTGCAAGGCACCCTTTTAGGCTCTGAAGATTACAGGGATTAAGAAACAAAAGGTTGCCCCAGCCTCCTGCTTCCTCCCAAGAAGCTGGAATTAAGGCATGCATCACAATGTCCCAAAAAAACAAAAACTTTAAGCTCAAGATTAACACCTCAGATCTTGCCCTTATCAAAGACACAAAAATAACCTACTTAAACCAGAAAGCTAACAAAGTCACTCTCCTACATAAAACCATTTGATATTGCACACTATATACAGCATTTAGGTCCATTTACATTGTGACACACCAAACTCCCATAATCTGACCTCAGTCTAAAGCACCTTTAACAGCTTCCTCTCATGGGATCCCATTTGGCATCACAATTCAGTGACTTCTCTTTGTTTAGCTATCACTGAACATACCAGGCTGACTCATATATCATTCCTAGGTTACCTTTATTATTTTTTTTCTCCTAAAATCTCTCTTTTCTTTACCACTCCCCTCCACCCATTCACCTAACACCTATTGATGTACAGACTTAATCCAAGCCCATTTGCTTTTAAAAAACTTTCTTGGGTGCTGGGGTTGTGGCTCAGTGGTAGAGCGCTCGCCTCACATTTGCGAGACTCTGGGTTGGATCCTCAGCACCACATAAAAATAAATAAGTGAAATAAAGGTATTGTGTCCAACTACAACTAAAAAATAATAAAAAATATTTTTAAAAAAAAACTTTCTTGGACTCACTTTTGCTTAGTAAGTTGCTCTGTTTATGTGCTATGATGTTGTTCCTATTAAGGTACAAGAATGAAAAACAAGACTCACATGCAGTCATTCACCCCATAACTGTATTTCAGTCAACAATGCTCTACATATATAATGGTGATCCCCTAAAGATTTTATCACCATGAGAACACAATGCTTACCTTCAATAGATCATTTAATAATTCCAAACAAAATTATCTGTGTTTCTCGAGTAGGGATTGGTTGTTTTATTGTTGTTTGTGTGTGTGTGTGTGTGTGTGTGTGTGTGTGTGTGTGTATACCACAAAACTGGCAATGTTTCCTTCACATTTGTTTTCTCTCCTTATAAAAATGGGACATTAGCCAGGTAAGGAAGTGCACACCTGTATCCCAGCTACTTGAGAGGATAAAGCAGGAGGATTCCATATTCAAGGCCAGACTGGATAACTTAAAGAAAGACTGTCTCAAAATGAAATCTTAAAAAAGGGCTGAGGATGTAGTTCATTGGTAAAGCACCTGCTTAGCATGTGCAAAACCCTAGCCCAGTACCAAATAAAAATGGGATATTAATATACACCATGCTTATAAATTATTTTAATGTTTGCAGAGACTGCCTTTATCTTTATTGACCCACTCTGACACTTTCCTGCTGAGACCAAGATGGTAGAATGGGTACAAATGCAGTAATAATCCATGCTTGGAGGGGTAGAAAAATCTGGATGCCAAAGAGAAAAGCACCAGACTATCAGCTTGGTGAAACACTAAAAACTAATAAACCAACAGCAGCAAGTATGCTGAAAGTTTATATTCTCTCCTTGCCCACTAGAAAGCTCATAAATAAACAATTCAGTTTCTTCATTTTCTTGCAATTGTTTAGGTAATGTATTCATGGAGAATTTACATAAGGATATAAAAGAGATATGGCAAAGAAAGAAACAGAACCAAAACGACTGCACTATTTTCCACTTTCCAGACTGTTAGACAACTCAGGAAAACATACACTCACGTTAGAGATATGTTCTGAGAAATATCTTTTGTTGATTCTGTTGTGTGAATATCAGAGTATACTTATACAAACTAAGATGGCTATGATGTCACTAGGCAATATAATCTTTAGGGGACCACCATTTTATATGTAGTCTATCATCAACTGAAACAGTAGTAGGGTGTATGACTGTATGAGTCTTGTTCTTCATTCTTGTGCCTTGCTAGAGACCACATCTGATTTCCCATCCCAATCAGACTGAGCCCCATTAAGTATCTGCAAAGTTCAAATATCCTTTAGCTTTCTTTTGAGTTCTACTCTTGCAATGATGGAGTTTTTAAACATTTTGTCACATAAAGCTAAGGCCCATGAACATTACAGACACTAAATATGTACAAAAATAAAGTATATGAAAATGAATGTTTAATAAATTTTTCCCAGAAAATATTACACCAACATTAATTATATATATGTAAAATTATTACATTTGAAAACACTGGATTAGATTCTCACAGCATCACTTCTAAATATTCATGATTATCAGTTTAATAGTTACAAAAGTGAATTACATAAACAAGAGTTATGTAACTCTTGTTAAACTTTGAGAAGTTAAGCTTCTCAAAGCTTAAGCAAGTCCAGTCCTATGTATATACATACTCAAAAAATATGAAAACATGTACACAATAACTGGAACAAAATGTTTCTAAAGCATTATTAATAAAGGCCAAAAAGTAAAAACTCAAGTATCTATTAAGTGGTAAATGAATAAATAATAAGCAGTATATCCATACAAAGGATTATTATTCAGTAATAAAAAGGAATGAAATGCTGATGTATAGTACAACATGGATGAAATTCAAAAACACTATACTGGCTGGGATGTAGCATAGTAGTAGAACCAACCCTTACCTAGCATGTGGAAGGCCCTGGGTTCAATTCCTGGTATTGCAAAAAAAAAAAAAAACTAAAAACATTATACTAAGTGAATGAAGTGTGTCACAAAAGACCACAATTTTATGATTCCATTTATAAAGAATATACAGAATAGGCAAATCTACAGATATAGAAAATAGATTAGTGGTTACCTACTGGGAAAAATTTATTAAACATTCATTTTCATATACTTTATTTTTGTACATATTTAGTGTCTGTAATGTTCATGGGCCTTAGCTTTATGTGACAAAATGTTTAAAAACTCCATCATTACAAGAGTAGAACTCAAAAGAAAGCTAAAGGATATTTGAACTTTGCAGATACTTAAAATAGATTAGTGGTTACGGGACTTAGTAGAAATGGGAAGTTACTGCTAGTGGAATGATGAAAATATCCCAAAACTGACTGCCATGAAAGCTGCACAACTCTATGAATATACTAAAAACCACTGACCTGCATAATTCAAATGGGTAAACTGAATTCTATGTGAATATAACTCAGTAAAACTACTGTACATTAAAAAAGTAAATTGTCAAATCCTACTCGCAATTTTAGAGCAATTTGATGGGATAGGATGAGAGAAAAGGTACATTCTCGTGTCCCTTAGTGTAAAATTCTGAAAGCTCAGTCTCCTTCCCATTCTGATGGCCTAGTCCATTTATCCCAACATAAGAGGCAATAAATGTTGTATTCCTAGAAGTATCATTCATATGTATGTATATATATATATATATATATATATATATATATATATATATATATATATGTGTGTGTGTATACACACACACGGCACTATACTCTTCATATTACTGTGTACTCTGCTTTTTTTCATTTGAGTATTCTGGAGAAAGTATGCCATGTTAATATATAAATAATTTCTTCAACCTTATAGTATTTCATTGTTTGGC